CCAAACTCAGATCAAACTGTCAGTAGTTTGTGTTTGGGGTTTCCATACGTCCTGGAAAATCTGGGAAACCTGTAAATTCAAAGACTAGTTTTCCAATCCTGGAAATAATCTGTGTTGTGCAAATGTTTAATAGTACTGTAGCTGCTCACTCAGATTACGTCACCCTGAGTGTGTATTTAGTCTGTTTGGTTGGATAATCTGCACTGTTTACAGATGTTTCCTTTCTGTCAGTTAAGACATTTCAACCAGCTGCACTCATACAGCCTGTTATTAAAGATAATTTATATTGTTATGTAGGTTGATAATTGTTCATTTTAAATACAGCGGACACTTTTTTTAATGGACCAATAGGTTAGAAGATAAATCTTCTGTAAAATAAAGTCAGTTCTATGTGATTGAACTGTTTATGGCAGCCATTGTGAGCGAGTGCTGTCCTGTATATAAGATGTATGTGTCTACATACGTATAATTCACTGTTAACAGAGACGATATTATATTAAATATTAGCACATAGAGACCCTGCAGGGTTCACGTTTCAGCCCAAAAGTCGGTGGCTCAGTCATTAAATATCCTTTAATGGAGATCCAGATCATGAACCTATGGAATTCCATTACTGCCAATGTGACAGAAAAATGTAATGGGCTTCTATAGGATCCAGATCAGGATCCAGATCTGTGAGTCCTCCTCAGACTGTGTACTGTTTGTGTCTCAGGAAGGTGGAGACGTCCAGGCCTAGAGAAAGTCCAGCAGGGTCCCTGTCCGAGGCCCAGAGACCAGGAGGAAGAGGAGGAGGAGGAGGAGGAGGAAGCAGTGTGTCAGAGCAGAGCCACAGCAGGAACGGTCAGTACAGCACCACCTACAGGCTGCAGTCCCGTCCTCTGGACAGCAGCGTCGACCTGAAGACTTTTGATTTTCTTCCTGCAGGTGCGTCGAACTCCAGAGAACGAGACTTCAGAGACTCAAAGGCCCCAAACGATAAAACCGGATCTCTGCATTTAGGTAGGAACGGTCAGAGCTGCTGTCCGTCTGCAGGAAACAATCTGTTCCTGTTGGGTTCTCTGTGTTTCACTTCCACTATCGGGCTAATAATCTGTACCTTTATGGTGTCATTTGATGTACTGATACCTACAGTAAGTAGGTCCAGTAATCTCATCAGCATCAGGTAAGTGGTTCTACAAAGGCCTGTTTTGAAGGGGAAGCAGTTCTGAATGAGCCAGTACATCTACACTACAGTCAGTATTGATGAAATCCTGACAGTCAGGCAGTTTATATTGTTTGTAGTTGGTTAAAAGCAAAATGTTCTTTTTTTACAGCAGCATAAAACAGTAAAAATGATCAAAAATAAGTTTAGCTTTAGCACCAAATCAAAGAATAGGTATTGGTGCTTGTATTCATAATGTATTGATTGACGCCTTCTGCTTAAAAATATGATGCTGTCCCTGTAGCGACTGTCAAAGTCAGGTGACGTATCGTAAAGAGTCCACATATGGAGGTGGTGGGGTGGAGGTCGCTGTTGGTGTCTAAACCAAAAGTAAACTTTCCCTTTTAAGTAACTTGCAACCTTTTCCTAACCCTAACCCAACTTTATTCTGAAAGTCTAACTGAACATTTCATATTTATTATCCGCATCCAGAAGTTTCAACTTTTGAAGGAACATCAAACATTTTAAATAATTAAAATATTTAAAATTTTAACAACGAACTATAAAAGTTTTTTCTTTTAGTGATAAATGTGAACGTCTGCAAACATTTCAATAATGTGTCTGGATTTTCTCTTCTGTTGGTTTTTGGTCTGTTCATTTGGGGTTGTTGGAGAAATAACTTATTAAAGCTTGTTAAAGAATTCAAATTCTTTAATTTGACTAATTAAAACTTTGTTTCACAGATGACGATGTTGAATATGACGATGACTTTAACAGGTAAGACGGAAGATTTTTTGTTGAAAAGGACGTTTTGTTTAATTCTGACTCCTTCAAAGAGCTGTTTGAGGGTTTTTCCTTCAACCTCCAATAATCAACCATACAAATGGACAAAGTACATTTGGTTGTTTCTTACATTAATATTGTTCCCCTGCAGTATGTATCTATCTATCTACACCTGGTTTTAATCTGTTGCAGCATTTCGACCAAATATTCAATTTAGTTTTATTTGTATGACACCAGATCATAACAGACATTATCTACAAAAGGCAGTCCTAGACGTTTGCTTCATGTGAGACTTGTAATTTATTTATTTGAATAATTTCATCAGGATTGATAGATATAACTGGGTAT